TTGACTACAAAATACGTGACATGACCTGTTCAACTTGTTAATAAACCTGTTTTTTTGCCGTTATCCCATATTACAATCCTCACATGTCGGCTAAGAACTTCGACTCCTAACAACAAAAGCCCGATGATTAGTTACATCTATCAAGGCCTGTATCGCTATAACACTGATTACACTGATCAGCTATAACAATGATTACACTGATCAGCCATTACACTGATTACACTGCTCAGCTATAACACTGATTACACTGACCAGCTATTACACTGATTACTTAGGGCTACTTTGTACAGTAACTTAAGTTCAAGGCATTTGACAAGATTGCAAAAACCAAGGACAAAAGTCGTTTTCTCTTTGCCAAAGACTGAAAACCGCTGTTTAACCGTTGCACAATAAGATTCCACACTCTACCTGAACCTAGTAAAGGAACCATTCTTGCACTCAGGACCTGGAATATTCTGTTGCTTTTAGATATTCTTGGCCGCAACTATGAGAAGAGAGCAACAACATCGTTTGCAACAAACAGTAACAAAAGTAGAGCACTATTCTAGCCAATATTTGCTGACATTTTTATGAAAAAAATAAGGCTTAGAGAACATTATCGTCGTGCGAGCCGAGTGTTCAAACTCACTACCAACGAAGAGATGTAACCCCATCTTTGACTCATCGGGCAAGGTAAGGCTCAAGTTTTGCCACTAATGTAACTATCATATTAAACTGACTTAAATAGTATTTTGCATTTCCTGGGCATTTTCTCATCTGAAGCATATGATAGAGCAACGCTACATGAAGTCGGTAATGGTTTTTAGAAGACACAGTGACCAAGTTCCTCTCTAGTTTAAAGGACTGGATGCTGAGTCACAAGAGGTTCACTCAAATACAAGCTTTTACATACATACATCACTTTACTTACCCTCGGATTTCAGAGTAGCTTATGCAGCTAATATCTCCGAGCATTTAATCAACAGATGAGAGATAGACCACCACACCGGGAACTACGTCCCGTGCTCTTTTCGATCAGTGTGTGGGTTCTTTTACGTCCCACAGAATTAATTAGGCACCTTAAGATACCAGCACGGGACGAGCTAGGACGGCTGCCGGAGGTAAATTGACTCAACCGGGCATGCGCACGAGAACTCTCGCCTGATCTCTCTGCCGTCCTCATCTCGTCGATGACTCCATTTCGCCCGACTAGCCGTCGTATCGAAGACGTGAGTATTTTGCACTTGTTTTGCCCCGATAACTGTTCCAATCGACTTTATTTTCAGTTATATTGATAGAAATATTTATAGCGTTCACAGTTTTCGTAATTGTAGCGTAGAATACTACGCTGAGATACGAAAATGTGAGTAAAAATATTCCTCGTCTGTTCGTTTGTG